CGGCGCCTCGCCGCTCCCCGCTGGACTTCAGCACCGCGCCCGACGGGACAGCTCCGGCCGCGGCCGCCGGCCCCGAGGAGCTGCGCGGCGAGGTGCGGCACGTGACGCTCAGGAGGAGCAAGACCAACGAGGGCTTGGGCTTCAGCATCCGCGGCGGGTCCGAGCACGGCGTGGGCATCTACGTGTCCCTGGTGGAGCCGGGCTCCCTAGCCGAGAAGGAAGGGCTGAGGGTGGGCGACCAGATCCTGACGGTCAACGACAAGCCGCTGGACAAGGTGACCCACGCCGAAGCGGTCAAGGTAGGTGCGCGCTTCTCCAGCTCCCCTTTGCCTCCCAGCCAGCTGGCACCCTCTCGCCGTCTTCTGCCATGTAACCGTCCCGGGAAGCAAGTGGGGTTGAGCGTGGGGAAAGAACCAGTGAAGCCCCCTGGTCCCTTTTTTTTCTCTGGGGTACAGGCATGTAACTAGGTGACCATGCTGTGGTGCTGATTTGCACCAAGAGATCAGAATCGGACTTAAAGGCATTGGCTGTGTATGAAGACAAGCCAGCCGCTTGAACACCAAGATTATAATAAAGGATCATGACAGGAAATGTGTGATATACATACTGTTCATAGAGCATGCACAGCAGCTTCACATGCTTTGTGGTGATGGGCAGTATAATTATTCCGCTCTCTGAAAAGTCTGGCTAGATTGACGTAGATCTCCCCACAGTAAACTCTGATCGCTGCAATGCCCCTGGTCTTCACAACCTCCCTGGGAGGTAGAGCAGTACCATCTCTTACATTGCATATGGGGAACTGAGGTACAGATAAACTAGGTGACTGGTCTAAGTTCACAAAGAAAATCCATGCCTCAGTCAGAAATCAAACCCAGGTCTGCTAAGCCCCTTACCCACCAAACTGGGTTATCTCTATCCATACATAAGGAAACTGAGGCAGGGGGACTCAATCCCCAAGACCAAACAATTACGGAGGCATGAGGAGATCCAAAGTCTTGTTTCTTACTACTGGATCAAAATGAAAAAGAGAACAGCTACACAACTACATTGCAAGCTCTTCACGGACAGTCTCTTCATGGTACATAGCACAGTAGCTCCCTTCAATCCACCTCTAAGAGTTCCTCTAATACAAATAGCAAATTACAATAGCAACAGTACTTTTTAATTAAGGATCTATCAGCCAGGGGTTGAAGTAGCTCGGGTGTTGGAGATTTTTAGAAGAATTTTTTCACCAGCAGTTCACTATTCTGAACTGAACTGAAGCTAGTGTAACGATAAATTGTTGCCATCTGACATCAAGGTGGCTTTGCGGATTGATTTGGTATCTCATTCCAAAGATACCCTGCAGCAACATAGTTGGCAATCAGTCCAGAGGCAAAGGGGGTCTGGTGAACCATGGAGTGGGACCCTTGGGACTAATGAATATTGGATGTCTGGGGAAGGGGGCATCAAGGAACAGAGAGTTGATTTGCAGTTGTCAGTAGTTTCATTCTGAAAAAAAAATGAGGCACTTTGATTCCCAGTTCACTCAGTTTGGTACTGTTCACTAATACTGTACTTAGGGTCTTGCTTACTCCTGCTAGTAATGCAAGTGATGCCAAAGGGGCTATCCAGATGAGGAAGAATCATTTGCATAAGATTTTACAGGATCAAGCCCTTCATTTTCCAATAATCAGCCCTGCCCCTTCCTCTCACTTTTAAATTTCAGGCAAAAGAATTTGTTCTAGGCTGAAAACTAGGCATAAATAATCTCAGGACCACTGGTTTTATTGTTTGTTTGCTTCCTCCTCCCCTTTCCCTCATTTAAAAATGTTGGCTTTGTTTTCTTCTTTAATTATAGGACAATAAAACTGGATGTTTATGGTTTAATGCGATATTTTGTGCTGTGAACATTGAAACAAAATGTGTTACAAGATGCAGTGGTTAGAGATGGGAACTGAATGTCAGAAAGCCTCAGGGCTAGTCAAAGCTCTGCCACTGATTTAACCTAGTGTCCTTCACTAATTCACATAACATCTGTGTCTTGGGGCACTCACTAGTAAAGTGAAGGGAATAATATCCACCTCCCTCACAGGGTTGTTTCTGAGGCACTCTGTTAGTTAATCTTTGCATAAAGCACTTGAAACTCCCTGTGCAAAAATTACTATGATATAGAGCTTTTTGCCTATGGGCTATTCCATAATATGATCTGACTCTGGTGTTTCAAAATGATGTGGAAACAAAAGAATAGCTCACAAGTTGTTTAGCCATGAGCTGGAATTTTGTTTAAGAAACAGGGTTATCACATGCTCAGCTGCTGTGGCATCTCGCAGGGCTCTTGTGATGTGTGGGATCAAGATGGATTTTTATAAGATGCTTTCAGGTCCTGAGGGAGCTTCCAGACCTTCATTAAAAAGGAGCCAGAGCATGATTTACACAGCTGATGATGATTTCTCTGGAGATTTTAAAATTGAATCGAAACCTTGCATTTGGTGGTGGAAGTGTTTCTCCTATGGGAGGGGAGGAGAAACCAAGGCAATGCAAGGCTTTCAAGGTTTCATTCAAATAATCGCAGGGGGCTGTTCAAAATGCACCACTCAGGTCTATGGTGTACATACATGATTAGGAATGTACCTCACACGTCCCCCCCACCCTTTTCATTGTGGCTAGGCATTGCAGGGTGTTGGTGTCTGTACCATTTGAGCTGCAATGGCAGGGTGAGTTAAGGATGTTCTTCTTCCCCAAACTCCCACTGGAATCAAAGAGATCAAATGCAGATTTGGTGTAATCATATGCAACTCCACTGAAGTCAGCTTTCTGCGTTCTGTTGCTCTGTTGCTCCACAGCAAACCTGGAAATCTTCTTTCCTGTCAGTTAATTGATGCTAGATTTTACACCAGCATAGATGAGGGCAGAATCTGGTCTAATGGGCTTGCACCAGGGCTAATTTTGGCCCTCACAGTTTTGGATGCACAAGGAATCCGAGATCATGGACAAAGAGGTGTGTGCGCTTTTTCTTCCTAAGAGTTAGGGCCACACTGGTACAAAATGTGAACAGACTTTAGTACTAGCTGAGAGCTCTTGGTACAAAAGCATAAATAGTTCTATAACAAGAATCCCTGTGCTCTGTTCTGTCCATACGTTTGTTTTAAACCACTGAGTGTTGTAAACTCTCCCTCTAAATCTGTCTGATCAAAGTGCACTTACCATTTCTATACAAGAAGGTTTAGTCTGGATCTCCATCCATCTAAAAAGGAGTTCACTTTCCCTACTACACTCAGGACTTGATTGTTCTGCAGCTAAAATTGACTACCTCTGCCCACATACTTCAGTACATGCAAAACGTGCCACTCTAAGTCGAGGTAATCAAACTCATTCTTCAGGACATAAAATGATCTCAGGGGCTAGGAAGAAATGTCCTCTCTAATCATTCTGAAATTGGCTACCTGGCTTGCTCCATTATGGATTTCATCCCTTCCTCTGAAGCATCAAAGGTGGCCTACAGTCAGAATCTTAGCCTGTGAGGATACTGATCTGATCCCCTGTGGCAACATCTGGGTGCCTGGATACTCATGCTGATGGACTCTGTACAAAACCAGTGCAGTTATTCAGACAGAGACATAGATAAATACATAGATGTCCCTATTCATAGAGTCTCTTAAATTCGCCGGCTGAATAATGCATTCTTCTCAGCAAACCAAGGTAGTTCAGTCACTTTCTTCTTTTCTAGCATTTGATCATGTATCTGACCTTGCAGAAACAACCTGGCCTTTCTCGGCATTTTTCCCACAGAAAGCAAGAAGAGGCTGAAATGAAAGGAAGTTTCTCTGGCTTTTATTTGCTGTCCCCTACATTCAAATAATCTAATAATATTTTTTAGAAGTCTTAAAAAGACATGATATCCTGAGAGTGGAATCTTGGCACCGAGATAAAACTGCCACTAAGCCAGGTAAAAGAGACATGAATTGATGAGTTACACACCATTCCTCCTGAAAAATTTACTGCTGCATTATGCCCTGTATGTTGGAGCTGAAGATAACTTTGAGTAAATTAGATTAAAAGTGGAATTGTGACATAAGCAACAAGATTACCTAAGCACTTCAAATCAAATTACTTAATGACTGACTGCTTAACCCCTGTGTGAGCGCTGGAGTTTTGTGCTCCACAGTCGGTGTGTGTTTCATTCAAATCAAAATTAAGTGACTTCATTACAGTTATAACTCCATCATTTTAGTGTTCCAGAGCATGCATTACCAGAAGATTGTTGTAATTTATATTATGCTTTACGTGAAGACATTTGCCTTATCTATAGGTTTCCTAGAGCTTATCCTGTTGTCTAATCTTGCTGCTCTATATCCTTCATATTATAGCGACAGACAAATAAGCATATTTATCAAGAAGCCATCATATTATCCAGCTCACAGTCAATGTGAGCCAGGGTTTTAGGTACCAGAGAAATTGTACAAGGAGGAATGTTTTCTTTTTGGTTACTACCAGGTTTTTTATTTTGCAGTTAATTCTTCATCCACTCCCCCACCAGTTTGTGGTAGGCTGTCGTTTCATTTAATTTCAAGGAAAACAATAGATAATTGGGCCACATCCTCAGTTGGTGTTGATCAGCATAACTTCAGTGGGGCTACTCTGGTTTACCTCAAAGGAGGAGCTCTCTGATTGAATCATCTTTAGTGTTACATTCATGGAAAGCGAGAAGTACTTTACAGTCAATGGAGTTATACTGATTTACCCATCAGAGGATCTGGCCTTATGTATCTGATTCTACTAGCACTCACAGTGGGGCAGATTCAGAGTAAATTCACTCACACCATTGGGATACATTGATTCATCCCTGCTCAGGATCTG